TTTTTTTTTTTTTTTTTTTTTTTTTTTTTTTTTTTTTTTTTTTTTTTTTGCGACAGTCTATACTAGCACGGTTTGCAGCTAGTCAATCCATGTCTAGTATTACGTCGAAGTCGGTCATCTTTACTACTATTAGGACTACGCTTAGAGTTTGGTCGCCTACTATTGCTTGGTCATTCTTTACTCTATCCTTAGTTACTATGTCTACCCTCTTAGGGCTGCTTACCGACCATACATGCAATAAGGGTTCTAATTCAAACCCTATCTCTGATCCCTCTCGAGGTGGGCTCTCTTCAGCCTCACCTCGTCCTCTACCTCTAATAGAAGGTCGTCCCCTTCCTCGTCTTACTCTTTCGCATGGTCTAGGCAGCATGGTTCTAGAAACCAAGATATCATCTCTTAAGTCTAAGGCTCATTACCTATGAAATTATGCTATGCATCACATCTACTAAGTTCACATCATATTGCAAACAAAATTACTCAACATGCAACACATCACATCATGCTCTTAAATAAATACGTGAAATATCACAACAATTTCAGTAACAATAACATAAAAATGCATGCGAGTTTGAAAACGTTTCTCTTTTCTTATCTTGTGCGAGGCGTACCTGACGGTAACGGGGCATCGACGTTGGGACCATGGAACGTGCCAAGCCTACATTGTAGGCTAGTCTACAGAATCTAAAACCTAGAGCTCTGATACCCACTGTAACGACCCAGATCCACCGCTAGCAGATATTATCCTCTTTGGGCTTTCCCTTCCGAGCTTCCCCTCAAGGCTTTAAAATGTGTCTGCTAGGGAAAGGTTTCCACACCCTTATAAATGGAGATTTGTTCTCCTCCCCAACCAATGTGGGACATCACAGCAACAAAGATATTCCCTTGGTAAAGGTCTCATGGGGTAACCGCCGTGAGGAAGAGGCAACCTGGGAACGAGAAGAGGACATGAGGAGAGCTTATCCCGAACTCTTCCAAGAGATAGCTACTTTCGGGGACGAAAGCTCCTAAGGAGGGGAGAGTTTGTAATGCAAAAAACATAATAATAATAATAATAATAAATAAAAATAAAAATAGAGGGGCTAAGTCAACTGAGGGGAAAAAATGTCATTTTGCCCCCTAAGAGGGATCCAAGGAGAACCCTGTCAAATCCCCTGCAAAAGAAAGAGAGAGTTAAAGAGAAATCTGAGAGGAGTCAGCCGGGAAGTTTATTGGACCACCATCGGAGTCCACCTTCAGACGAGACTTGTACAAGGATTGAGAGGCTAGCGGGACCGACGATCCGTCAAGATCCAAGAACGTTTCCCGAGGTAAGGTTCTGAACAACATTTTTCGGATATGAGTTTTTCCTATGTGAATCGAGTCCTAAAATGCTGAAATATTCACCTAGGAACAACTCTACGCACGATCTGTGAAGAAATTTGGCCGAGACCTCAACCCGAAGGCGGAGATCCAAGAACGGTGAGCGAACTTCCGCCGCTCTTAACTCGTCTGGTAGTCAAGCAAAAAATTACAAAAAAATACTAGGACGTAGCCCGTAACACGATCTAGACTTTGCCAAAGAAATCATATTGATCCAATCTACGGATCGAAAGACATGAAAATCGGAAAGGGGACTGTCTTACGGATTGTAAAGGAGAGAGAAGAAAAAAAAAAGAAGGTCGGCTGGCGAGCGGCAAAGGGCGGCGTGACAGGCGTCGGACACGCTTCGACCGTTAGTTGGAGCAACATAGCTCCAGCGAGGCGACGACACGTGTCACCTGCAAAGCCGAGCCAAACTGCAAACGCGAGCCGAACCGGACCAGCCGACCTGCGACTACGCAGTGGCTGCCGTGTGTGGTAGGCGCGCGTGCGGCTTGCAACTGGCGCACGTCCACGCGCATGGTCAGCGCACTGCTAGCACGTAAAACGGCCGTTTTGGCCCGGTTGCCCTTTGTTTGCCCGATTTTTGTCCCAGTTCTAGTTCTAATACTGTTTTTACGTGAATAGGGACCTAATCTAAGGAAATCAGTATTTTTGGACACCTCACGGGCAAAGAAATGCTAGCAAAAAGGCACACGTCAACCAGGTAAGTCACCACCCGGTATTTAGGAAGAAACACTTGTAGGATTCGATTGGATTGCATGCATGCTAGTAATTTTGCTTCAGATTAGCTCTCCATGTAAATTATTAATCAGACTAATTGTTATGATTGTATTGGGTGATTTATCTAAGTGTTGCTTGTATGCTTTAAGCTTCCGCCGTATGTATGCATGCGTTTAATTTATACTGGAATTGTGTATTCCGTGTTCCAGGTGCTTGATGGATGGATTCGCCCCATTGAGCACGAACTTCGTGCTCTGGGTGCTTGATGGAGGTCATTGCCCCGTTGAGCCGGTATGCCTAGTTTGCATGAATTATATATTATGATGTTAGAAAACGGTTGCAGGCACACTCTATTAATTGCTAGGGCCCATTTCTATGATAAGCTTAGGGAATTATTGTTAGGAGCGATATGTCGCTCTAGCCAGACTTAACTTTCCCCTAGGAACTTAGCGGTTTACCACGGCAACAAGGTACTTCAGGAGTGTTCATACATTGCTAGTGTGAGAACGGTATCTATAGCTCCGTGGGAGGATCAAGGGTCCCTGATTAGTCCTTACTGCTCTTAGCCATTTCGCATGGGAAATGTGTCCCCACGTCGTACAACCCATTAGCTGCATGGGAACGGGTTGGGTCGCGCCCCCTCATAGGGGGGACTGTATGGGCGTAGGGGTATTCAGCACGCCCCTAGGCTAGATACCATGTAGTCCCAGATAGCCATGTAGAGGTAGCACCTCATAGAGAGATACCGACCATATTAGCTTAGCGTAAGGAACCTCTGGGCGTTTAATAAAAGGACGATAAACCGGTGGAACCCAAGGGGCAAGCTCTAAGGGACTAAGATTAGAACCAGATGTCCTATAACCGAATTAGGAAACCGAGGGAACCTGTTAAATTAAGATGCAAAGAGAGCCTACAAGTAGGTGGCTTACTGAGTATAATTTTTATACTCATCCTTGCTATGTTTTCCTTTTTTTCAGGAGCGCGAGGCATCGGTCAAGGGCGGGCGTGATGGAGACGGGGATTGTCACAGAGGAACGGGTTGTCCCAGGGAGTCAATCCAGTCTTTATTTTGTATTTGCATTCTTTTGAAATTTATTTCCAAACTATAATGTGTTCTGTTGTTTGTCATTCAAAAACTTTATTGAAAATTAAGGATTTTCTTTATTTTATATTTAAATCACTTTGCATTTGTGTCTTGTCGTTAGTCACGGTCCGTAGTAAAATATTGGGTCGTGACACATGGTCTCGAGTTACAATGTCGTCGTCAGTCATACAGAAATGTATTGCCTTAACTAGACCTATCTAGTGGTGTACGCATGTACCCTCGTGATGGAATAGAAGTATCCCCCAATGCATGAGCACACATAATGATGAGGTCTCAATATTTTTCCATTTTCATTATCATTTAATATAATCCCGCTAGCGTTGCGTACATATTATATCATTTTTCATATCATTTCACATATCGTTTATCATTCATATCATATTATTTCTCACTTTTCAGTTCTCATATCATATGCAACTCTAATGAGGTTATATTTCATATCATTTATCGTGATTTCATATCATTCATATCATGCTGTAAACATACAATTTAAGAGACATAACATAACATTCCATGCTTTTAACATAACATCTCCTCTTATACATCTCAACTCATACCATAACATATCGCATTACAATATATCATATCATAAACCTGTCAATTTATTACCATATCTCGTACCATAACATATTTCATATCACTTTCATATCATAACATAACATTCACATGTCGTATCATAATCATATCATATCGTAAACATTTCATGGTCATATCGTTCCCTAATTTAACATGGCCTTAACGGTCTTATACATATCACAGTCATATCGTTACATGAACGTACCTTAGTCATATCGTTACAGGGACGTATCTTAACCCTATCGTTCTATCAATCTATTATAATCTTATCCCTTTCTACCCATAACCTAAACGTATTCTTTTATCAATCGATCGTGACCATATCGTTTTTATCGATCTCTCATATCCATAGCATTTCGATACGAACCCTAACCTTAATGTTCCATGAACATATCTTACTCATATTGTTACCTTACGTTTAGTGCATCACTCTCATATCATATCTCAAACATATCATTGAACACAACGTACCGTAAGTATTATCATATAATCCACATATCATAACATATACATAACATATCATAAGCATATCGATTCACAAACAATTCACACATATCAATATATATGACACGTGTAGAACCACGAGGCATCAACATCAAATATAACTATGTCTATAGTAACGTCACTTACTTGATTAACTTAAGCTGGTGTGTTAAGGATATTTAGTACAAAATTATAGTTTACCATATATATCATATTTGATATTTTATTATAAAGAAAATATCTAGATATTTGCCTTCTTACCGTAGGTATCTTTCCATTTATTGTTATTTCCATATTCTTGTAATTTATTTGATTATAAATAGAGAACTTTTACACACCAAAGTGTGGTGGATTAAGAAAACATTCTCATGGTATCAAATCCATGTTTAACAACCTCGATCCTTTCTTTTCAATGGCTTCTGAATCCTCTATTATTCTTCCCCACCATCCCTACTGGCTTTGACGCCGCAAGGGCCGTCTCAATGGCTGCCACAGATGGAGCCGATTGATTACTCTTCGGCTCTACCTTTTGACCTCCAAATCATTCTTCGCCATACTTTGTACATACAACCTCACCTTCTCCAACATACTCGGTTTCCCGTTGGCCAACATTGTCTCTCTCATTTTCTTCCCAACCAATCCTTCATCCTTCACAGAAACCCTAACCTCAGAATCCTCATGAGTGTTCCCATCCAAAATATACAGAATCTCGAGAAACCTATCGACCTTCTGCAGAGATTTACCTTTGGAATCTAGGCGCCACACTAGCCTCTTCACCAACCAAGTCGTCGCCCCCCTTCTCACAAAAATTGGCTCATTCACCCAAAGTGGCGACTCTTCCGGCTTCACCATTGTCTTTGTCCCTTACTCTAGGTTTCACCCTTCTACTTCTTAAGTTAGACATATTCTCGTCGGAGCCAAGGGCAGCATTGTCGCTGAGCGACAATCTCTCTTCATGTGTTAGACATACTCTCGCCGAAGCCAAGGCAACATCGCCGCTGAGCAACGATCCCTCTACAGTTTTCGATGGCAAGAAAGTGTTTCTCTACGCCTCCTCCGAACCAGGTTGTTGACATCTTCATGAAAAGTGTTTCTCAACCTCTCTTTGAATTTTTCAGATTCAAGCTTCACGTTCGTTCAAATCCAACGATTAGCTTGTGGGGGGTGTTAAGGATATTTAGTACCAAATTATAGTTCACCATATATATCATATTTGATATTTTATTATGAGGCAAATATCTAGATATTTGCCTTCTTACCATATGTATCTTTCCATTTATTGTTATTTCCATATCCTTGTAATTTATTTGAGTATAAATAGAGAAATTTCACACACCATTTAGGTGTGCGGTGGATTAAGCAAACATTCTCATACTGTCCCCAATGTTCCCTAAATAAAAATATGATTTTGTCATCTGCATCCAAGTCAGCCTATGTGAACCCATGACATCAATTTCAAGCTCCCTCCATATTTTATAATACTCGGTCTTTCTTTAAATCTACTGCTATTTCCTCAAACAAATCTTCAATATTTTCTTTTTTAGTTATTGATCCATTTTCTATAATAATAATTAGAAATCTAAATAACTACAACAAAAATAAGATCTTACCTATAAATTTTTCTATCCCTTACTTTAAATCTATTGCTATTTGGGGATGTGACAAATTTGTGGGGGAGAGAGGCATGGGTTCTTGTATTATTATTATTTTTATTATTTTTTATTTTTTTATTATTTTTAAAACCATTTTTTTATAACTATTTTTATTTTTTTATTTTATTTATTATTATTATTATTATTAGTTTTTTTTTTGGCTATTACATTAATCAAATGTGATTGACATATATGAATATCAGGTTCAGGTTGGTATCTTATTCTGGTAACACTACTAATATAACCCACTTAATATCTCTTTATAAATTCATTAATCGAGAAGATTAATATTTCATAAGATAATCATATGCGACTCACTCTTAATCATGAGTGTGTTATGAACTCATGCGGGCTTACCCTTTGATTTGCATGAGCCATAACCATATTTGTTTTACTATTCATATATTATATCTAGATTAGTAAAAAATAGAACCGTTACCAAAACAAAATTATATCATCGATTTTGATTTAATTTTGGCCAATGTTTTTTTTATTCTTTAGAAGAAAGATATATTAAGTTTTCTAAAACAATATAAAAATATATGGATAAATATTTGACTCTTGGCCTATTATTCAAATAAATAATAATAAATCACATCAAGAATTGTCTATATCATTCTTTGTGTCAGTCATTCGAACGGTATTATCTAAGCCTTAAAAGAAAAATTCGTTCACTAGGACCAACTCAATTTTTTTTTAGGAACCTAAGAAACATTTTTAAAGAATGGTGTGGAAGGTTGATAAGCTCATGTTAAAGAGAATTAGGAGCATCAAGCTATGAGATAAGTTTCAACAATTTCTTTGACATTTTCAAAATTTACCCTTAATTCTTAATCTCTTTGAATAAGACCAATTCTCTCAAGTTTGTGGTGATTAATGGAGCGGCTTTGATGAAGGAAGCAAGAGTTGAGGAGGTCAAGAAACGTACCCGATAAACGAAGAGGAAGAAGAAAAGAAAACCAAGAAAAGGAGGTTGGTGAGTAACCCTTCTTGGTCAATAGATAACTTCGTGTTGGGATTTATGCTATAAAATATATATGAATATCATGTTCAGGTTGGGTTCTTTATTCTCATAATACTATTGATATAACCCACTTTGTAATTGTTACAATAAGTTTGTATTAAGGCAAAATGATCATATGCGACTCACTCTTAAACATGAGTAAGTTATGAACTGATGCACGTGAGGGCTTGCCCTTTGATTTGCATGAGTGAGAACCACTTTTGTATTCTATTGAATGTGTCTACTATTTTGGGAACCTGACCAAATAGGTAGACATAACATAATTTCAGAGATGAAATTTGTACTTCTCACATAGGGTAAATAGATGAGTATTTTTATTAAGTATTGATTGCGGGACTTGAACAATAGGGTGCTACTCTCTTGCTGGCCGTATAGAGATTTAGTCTATCGTTGGATCATAAACGAATTATTCACTAAAGGATTTGTGGTATTTAAAATAAAAGATGTAATTATAGGGGTAAAACAGACTTTTGACCCAACACAATCGTAAACAACTAGACAAACTTGTATGTAATAATTATATCAATATACACAATTTTTCTATCCTGCATAAGAATTCAAATATTGATTTATGGTGAAATGACTTGCAGTTAATGAATGAAAAGTATTGATTAATTAAAAAGTTTAATTAATTAATTTTGTAACATTGAGGTTTATAATTTGTACGGTCAGAAGGTATCATTTTTAGCTAACCGTAACACTAAAAAGATCAATTTTGTTGAATTTTTTTTTTTTTTTTTGAAGAAATATAGTTTATATAAATTAAAAATATATTTAATTTGAAGTCTTCACATTAAGAGTTAATATATGAGATATATTAAATATAAAAAAGAGAAAAAAAAAATACAGCAACAACTCTTTTCTTCGTAATATTGAGAACCGGATAAAAATAACACTCCAATGGAATGAATGACTTGAACCTTTGCGGTCCACAGACAATTTTTGGACAATTTTGTCCTCTAAAAAGATGGTACAAAAAGATTTTATGCCTTTTATTTCCTCAATATACGGGTGGACAAATCAGTAATTGGACTGGAGAATCTTCTTCCCAATAAGGAAGCCTTGATTAAGCAAATGACTAGCAGCAACGAGTTTTCTCTCGAGTCAAAAGATGTGTTGTATGTCAAAGATCAAAGAAGACAGAATTTTCATTCAAAACCTTCATCAAGCAATGGAAATCAATCCAGAAGTGAGGAGTCGTGAAAGAAACCATTTAAAGCTTGTTACAGGCCTGGAAAACTAGGCCATTTTAAACGAGATTGTCAGGTGAAAGTGGTGTGTCATCGTTGCAGAAAGCCAGGCCATATTAAGCCAAATTGCCGAGTCAAAATGCAGGAATCAGAAGCAAATGTTGTACATGAAAGTAAAAATTCTTTAGATCCAATTTAGGAATTCCGCTTAACCACTGAGGTTCTTGATCATCCAACAAACGTGACTTCAGCCGTACATCTAGATGATCAAAATCCTAATTCCACTACTTACGCTTTTGAATTTGATTCCCTCCAAATTCCGCCTCTAGACTGTCTTTTTTTCTCCGATGCCAATTCTGCCGTCCCTGGTGACCCTTCAGTTTATTTCACGGCCTTGGATTTGGGATTCGATGAAAATGAAGATTTCAAGCTAACCTTTGACGATCTTGATAGTCTTTTCCTTTTCTCTAAGTGTAATACCCGAAGAAAGAGAAATAGAAATAGAAAAAGAAAAAAAAAAGGAAAAGTCGAGAGGGGCAAATAGGTAAATTTGCCCCTCCAACCACCTAAGGGGTCCAAACGAAACCCCATCCATAGTCCTGCAAAAGAGAGATAGTGAGAGAAAGAGGTAGAGAGAACCTAGAGAGAGGAGAAAGGATGAACCGCCGGAAGACTCACCGAAAACTACCGTCGGAGTCTATTCCGGTGAAGATCATGATGCAAGGAGGTGAAGATCATGCAGAGAGACTTTCTTGGAAGGGAAAAGAGGATGTGGGTGGCCGGAGTTCCATTTTTCATCAAGAAGTCGGAAAACCCGCAAGGTAAGGATCTTGAGCGTTTTCTCAGATCTACGATTTTCCTTTGTAAATCAAGATCTGAAATCTTGATATATTCATCTAGGAACAACTCTACGCATGATCTGTGAAGAAGTTTGGCCGAGTCCTCAACCCGAAGGCGGAGATCCGAGAGTTGTCCGAGAACGGTGAGCAAAATTCTGACCTTCTTAACTCATCCAGTAGTTAAGCAAAAATTACAAAAAAATACGAGGACGTAGCCCGTAACACGATCTAAAACTTTACCGAAGGAATCATGTCAATCCGATCTACGGATCGAAAGATTTAAAAATCGAAAAAGAGGGTTGTGTTTCGGTTTTCAGAGGGCAGAGAAGAAAGAAGAAGAAGAAAAAAAAAAATAAGGGAGTCGGTCGGCGAGCGGCGGACGGCGGCGACAGGCGCCGGACACGCGTCGACCATCGGCTGGAGAAACGCAACTCCAACGAGGCGTCGACACGTGTCGCTTGCAAGCTGGGCCGAACCGCGACGCGAGCCAAGCCGACCGGACCGGCCGACCCACGACTACGCGGAGGTGGGCGCGCGTGGCGGACGCGCGTGCAGCCTGCGACTGGCGCCTTCCCGCGCGCGTGGGACGGCCAATTTGGCCCGGTTGCTTTCTGTTTGCCCAATTTTTTGTCCCGGTTCCAGTTCTAATACAGTTTTTACGTGAATAGGGACCTAATTTAAAGAGATCAGTATTTTTAGACACCTCATGGGCAAAGAAACGCTAGCAGAAAGAGCACGCGTCAACCAGGTAAGTCACCACCCAGTATTTAGGAAGAAATACTTGTAGGGTTTGCTTGGATTGTATGTATGCATGTTCGTAATTTTGCCTTAAATTAGCTCTCCATGAATGAGATCAATCAGCTGGATTGTTATGATGTGTTGGGTGAATTATCTAAGTGTTGCTTGTATGCCTTAAGCTTCCGTTATACGTCTGCATGCGTTTAATTTATGTTGGAATTGTGTATTCCGTGTTCCGGGTGCTCGATGGATGAATTCGCCACATTGAGCGCGAACTTCGTGTTTTGGGTGCTGGATGGAGGCCATCGCCCCGTTGAGCCGGCGTGCTTAGTTTGCATGAATATTAGGATGTTAGAAGACGGTTGCATGCACACCCCGTTATTTTCTAGTGCCCATTTCTAAGATAAGCTTAGGGGGTTACCATTAGGAGCGATATGTCGCTTTAGCCAGACTTAACTTTCCCCTAGGAACTTAGCTAATTACTATGGCAACAAGGTACCTCAGGAGTGTTCATAGGTTGCTAGTGTGAGAACGGTATCTATAGCTTCGTGGAAGGACCAAGGGTCCCCCATCAGTCCTTACTGCTCTTAGCCATTTCGCATGGGAAATGTGTCTCCACGTCGTACAGCTCATTAGCTGCATGGGAACGGGTTGGGTCGCACCCCCCCATAGGAGAACTATGTGGGCGTAGGGGTACTCAGCACACCTCTAGGCTAGGTACCATGTAGTCCTAGATAGCCATGTAAAGGTAGCACCTCATAGAGAGATACCGACCACATTAGCTTGGCATAAGGAACCTCTAGGTGACTAATGAAAGGACGATGAACTGGTGAAACTCAAGGGGCAAGCCCCAAGAGACTAAGGTTAGAACCCGATGTCCTAGAACTGAATTAGGAAACCGTGGGAGTTCTGTTAAATTAAGATGCGAAGAGAGCCTACAAGTAGGTGGCTTACTGAGTATAATTTTTATACTCATCCCGTTCTCCTTGATTTTTCTCAGGTGTTCGCTGCCTACTAGTCGAGGTAGAGGAGCGTTTGAGAGCTGTACAGTCACAGAGGGGGTCGTTTCGGAGCGTCAGTCCATTTTCGGTCTTTTAGAGTCTTTTGTATTTTTCTTCATAATTTTATTTCCCGTTGGAAATATTTATATTTTATTTTATATTTGCCATTCCTTTTGTAATAATTTCGAAACAAAACTTTTTTTTTTTTGTTTTAATTCAATGGTATTTTTATCTATTTTACTTTGCTTTTCTTTTCTTTTATTTTCCTTTTGTTTATTTTCGATTTCGTCTTTTTAGTTAAGATTCGGTTTTTCGAAGCCTCGAAAATCGGGTCGTGACACTAAGGCTGACGGTTTCCTTATCTCCGAAGATTTGGATCAAACTACCAATTCACTGGACTTGCAGGCTGACCGGAAAGCTTATGGGAGCGCTGCTGTTCGTGTTTGCAGCCTTGCATGCTCTCCGAGATCCAGGAGCTCTGCGGTTTCATGCAAGGAGTTCCCCGATGAAGGTGAGTTTCTAAACTATCAATCTTCTAAATTAAGAACCGCAGATAGTGAGTGTTTTTCGACCCATTTGGTGGATGGGAAAG